CCAGGTCTTTAAAGTTTTGGTATAAGGAACCCAAGTTTTGAGCCAAGACAGAATATGACACCGAGCACTTCCTGAACCTCCCCTGTGTTGATGCATCTGGTGCACCAGCTGTTATTAAACAACAGCACAATTTAATGTGGCCACCACATTTAATTAAGACCATCTTCAGTTGTTTTGCCTCTTCACTGCAGGAGCTGTGTTGTACCGCATCCCTCTGACCTGGGGTCAGAATAAACTCCCGTGGAAGCTCCTTCATGCGGCACTGATGCTCCTCGCCCTGGTGCTGTCGATCGTGGGGCTCTGTGCTGTGTTTGACTTCCACAATGCCCAAAAGACACCCAACCTCTACTCCATACACAGCTGGATCGGAATCGCAGCAACAGCTCTTTTCGCAATGCAGGTACCCAACTTGACATGAGTTGTTTTATGTTTTTAGGCAGATGCCATACATTTTTACAGCAATTTGTTTCCTGCTGTCGCTGTGTGTCTGTGATTTATCTGTCTGTGTGGATGCAGTGGGTGGCGGGTATGGCGGGTTTCCTCCTTCCCTGCTCCCCCATATCTTTACGTAAACGCCTGAAACCCATGCATGTGTGGTTGGGAGGTAGCATACTGACGCTCAGCATCGCTGCCTGCATCTCTGGCATCAACGAGAAACTCTTCTTTGTTCTGTGAGTGCAAATTTTCTGCATTTCTTTTGATTAATTCTGTTAAGGGAAAAAAATGTAATCTTTTTCCCTTTTAAATGTCTTTCCGCAGGAAAGGAATCAATATGACTCAGCCATACTCTGCCCTTCCACCTGAGGCTTTGTTGGGAAATTCATTAGGGGTTTTGATCGTAGCCTTTGGCCTGGTTGTCCTCAAGATTCTGTCCACCCGAGAATGGCAGAGACCAGACTCCAGGCCTGAGGATATGGCCTACACGGTGAGAATATCAGTGTGGCTGACACGTAGTGGCGGAGATAAGGGAATTTAATTTAATAAAGCATTGTCATTTAAAAAATCTATCTGCTTCATTTCACAGCCTTTGCTTCAAGAAGAAAATGAATGAAGGGGAACTTCAGAGCTGGTCCCTGAATTACTGCAAAATCAGTTCAGCTGTCACAAGTGGCCAAAACATCTCTGTCCTGAGTGTTGAAGCAGCTGCCTGTAGTGTGTGAGCACTGTCTGTTGGTTTTTAGTTGTAAATATTTATGCGAAATTATATTTAAGATTGCCTTTCTGCCCAAAGAATAAAAAAGTATTTGTCATCAAAGCTGTGACACCTTCCTCTTTTACACTGCTTCTGTAGTTCACCACTGCTTTTCCATCCTGTAGTAAAGCGGTCACTAGTTCAGGGTATTGAAGGCTGTGGTAATGTAGTGTAACTGGTGACTGGATTCAGTTGCTGTTGTGCACTGATGGGGATCCTGAATCCACCATTGACCTGTTTTATTTAATATTAAGTTGATTGTAATTAATGTACTGTATACCTGTTATACACGTGTGAAGCATCAAGGTTATGC